TGCCATATATGATCCACCAATCCTACTGCTGGGTGTATACCCAAAGGAATGGAAGTCATCATGTCAAAGGGATATCTGTATTCCCATGTTCATTGCAGCTCTATTTATAATTGCTAAGAGTTGGAACCAACCTAAATGTCCATCAGCGGACAACTAGATGAGGAAAATGTGGTAAATATGCACAATAGAATACTACTCTGCCATAAAAATGAATGAAATTCTGCCATTTGCAGGAACATGGATGAACTTAGAGAAAATTATGTTAAGTGAAATAAGGCAGGCACAGAAAGAGAAATATCACATGTCCTCACTCATAAGTGGGAGCTAAAAAAAAACAAAAACAAATAAACAAAAAAAGAAAGCTACAACAATCACAATAATTTGTTGAACTTTCAAAAGGAGAGAATGGAATTGAGGCCACCAGACGTAGGAAAGGGGAAGAGAGAGGAGTGGCTAGTGAGAAATTGGTAAAGGGCCACAAAAAAAATGATTACATTGTGTAATGAAAAATATAGTAATGAAACATATAAATAAAGCCCTCAGAACCACGCCCATGACCACCATTAAACCATCGACTTATTAATCCATTTACTAGGGCATGGTCCTCACAATCTAATCACATCTTCAAGGCCCCGCCTTTCAATTATCATATTAGGATTTCCCACCCTCAACACTGTCACAGTGGGGGTCAAGTTTCTAATCCATGGACTTTGGGGGACACAATTCACTCCACAGCACGCCATGAGCTATGAGTCAGGAGTGTCCACACCAATGAGCACCAGTATTCTTAGGAAGTGGTCAGCCTTTTTCAGTGACTGAATGTTTGCTTCTTGGCATTTAAAATAATGTCATTTTAAATCAATAACAAAACCAAAGAGGTGTAGTCTGGTGTTTGCAGAATGGCAAGCTTCTTTTGATTGCGTTTTCTTAATCCTGCCAGAAAAATTGATGGTAACAGATCAACTTCTGAAAAACTCCAGGGACTTGTGCACAATGCATTCTGTAAGAGAAATCTCTTCAGGAATTCACTGTAACTCAAAATGGGAATTATAGGATAACTGTCAAAATTCTCTGAGAGTCTTTTTTTTTTTGATTGATTTAGGAGCAAAATGCTTACTCATTGCTATATTCTTGTAGTAGACACAAATGGCAATTCCAGATAAATGTGTGGGATAAAATGTGTGGGATGTGGGTTGAAAGAGAGAAGATTTTACATATGCTGATTGAAAGTGGGGGTTTTTGTGTGTGTGTGATTGGCAGCTGGCTGGTATGGGGATCCGAGCCCTTTACCTTTGTGTTGTCAACATCATGCTCTAACCAAGTGAGCTAACCCACCAGCCCTGTGAAAGTTGCTTTGACCAAGTGGTAAAGGCATCATTTCTTCATTAACTAATTCCATGTTTATTTATTGGATGCTTACTAAGTGCCAGGCACTGTTTCAGTTGCTGGGAAAGGATACAGCCTTCCATGAAACAGTCTAAGATCAGATTTTCCTCTCAGGTGGCCATAATAGGGCCCAGAACAGATCTGGTTCATCTTCTCTATAGTAATTATTATTTTTCACTTCCTGTCTCCAGGAGACAGTGCTGGCTTCCTTTTTTGTTTATAACCCCATCGGGCATGAGTCATCCCTTCACTGTGAGTATTGCAGAATAGCAAATCACATTCTAGTCTAATCTGTACTGCTGCCAGGGTCTCAGCCAGCAGCTCTTTGCTTGTCTTCTGACAGTCATGATAGAGCAGTCAGACCAGCTGCACAAGTTAACTGGGGAAGGGAGAAGAAAGCATGGTATCTGTTTCCTATTCATTTTTGTTTTTGTTTTTGGTTTTTTTTGACCGGTAAGGGGATTGTAACCCTCGGCATGGTGTGGTCTGCACCATGCTCAGCCAGTGAGCGCACTGGCCATCCCTATATAGGATCCGAACCCGCGGCCTCGGCGCTACCAGTGCCGCGCTCTCCCGAGTGAGCCATGGGACTGGCCCCTATTCATTTTTGTTTGTATAAGATATATTCAGGAGTGGACAGCTTCTTTCTAGGTGCCAATGTATCAGGCCATACTTTACCATTAGAAAGCCCAAATCCATTTTTAAAAAAATGAATTTGTGCCCATGGGCAAATAAAGTCACCTGATCTCTTAAAAAGGGTATTGGTCTTCCAAATGGACTTTGCAGCTTTGGCTGATGGTTCTGTAGCACATACGAAATAGTCTTTGACGAAAACCTGAAAATTTTAGCGTTTTAAGAAAATCCCGAAACAAACAGAATTCTCCCTGAAAATTTTCTAAACAATACTTTGAATATTTAGGCTTTCTTTCTATAAGTTTGATTGACTGATTTACATCTTTTAAAAATGTGCATATTTAGGACAGTTTTCCAATATAAAAAATATTTCCACCTATAATTCTCTGCCTTAATATAACTTGTCATTTCTTGGGATTCTTTTTATTCTTTATCTAATTATCATATGTGATTATAATGCTGGTATTTATGCAATTGTATGTTCTATTTTAAACCTTAAAATTTCTTACTTACCAACTTTTTGAATATGCCTCACTGAGGTGACTCATTATCTAATAGCATGTGTGACTCAGGGTAGTGAAAGGGGGTTTGTTTTGAACAGCAAGATGAGTGTCAGACTACTCTTCCAACCAGAAAAGTTCCATGTGATTTGAGGCACAGATGAAACAGCAAATTCTTTCTTGGCCTAGGCTTGGGTAGACAGTAGATGAATTCACGCAGTTTTTGCTCAAATTACAAATGGTGAGATTCTAAAAGCATTTTTAGCTTTAGGAAGTTCAATGTGGCCAGGCAAATGAAGGTTATATGACCTACCTGAGGATAAAGTTTAGTTCTTTGTTGGGAAAGAAGGTTAGACCTCTGTGCTTTGCTGAAAATGGAAAAGATAAAAAAACAAATAGAATACACACACATCGAGTGTCAGTGTCAATGGAAAAGAGGTACTAGACATAATAGGCTGACATTTCCCAGTGCTTTCTTACTTATCTATAGAAGGATATCAAAAAGGAAAAGTTCCCCTGTTTCAATTTTTAAAAATATTTTATCAATACTGGTCAAATAAGGTAAGGAATGAATATAAATATTACTCTGAAGGAAAATGAAATGCATCTCTTTTAGATTTCAAATAGTAAAGGACACAAACTTGAGCAGATTTGTATTGAGTTCTTTTATATCTCTGTAAAATATGCTAGAATTATGTGGAGGATTGATTTGAGTTTGCAGATCCCTGAAGACATTAGAAGTTTGTGTGCCTACGATGGTGATATAGGCGTGGGTCCCCAGTCAACCCCTTACGTCTGGAATGCCAGGAAAAGTAGACAATTCCAGAGAGATAGAGGGGCAACCTATGCAGCAGATGGATATACTCATATATGCTCTTAAGTGCTTTGAAACTCCTCAGGAAAGAAGTAGGACACAAAGAGAAACTACAGACTAGGAAAAGGACCTGTGGAAGGTTTGTTTCTAAAGATCATTCTTGAAACTCACTTTAGGAACTTGGGTATATCAGTTAGAATTGGGCTCAATTGTGTGTAACAGAGCATCAAAAAAAAGAAAAGAAAAAGAAAAACAAACCAGGAACTTAAACAAGATAAAAGTTAATTTTTTTTCCTCACATAAAAGAAGCCAGAAGCTAGGCAGCTGAGGGTTGGTGTGGCAGCTCTCTGGTCATCAGGGATGCTCTTTCTTTTTGCTTCATTATCCTTAGTGCTCACTTCCACCCGCTGGCTTGCCTTAGGGCTGCTGGATGACCACTCCTGCTCTAGGTAAGGCAAGCCAAAGGGCGTACTTCCTGGTAGAATTAACCTACCTTCCCCACAGAGAGTTTTCTGGAAGCCCCACCCACCTATTGGCCACCCCTATCTGCAAAGAACACTGCTTTCTCCAATAATGTGGGGGCTAAATATTGGATAGACAAACTTTAGTCTCTGTCATACCAAGTGATCATATTCTTAAAGGAATTACCAAGACTTAGGTGGTTAAGATTTTGGGATACCTGCAAACTCTTAGAATAGGACAGTAATACCTGGCTTTTAGTTTGCCCCTTAATTGATTGATTCAATAGTATTGAAAATTTACTATGTGCTAGGTGCTGGAGTTACAGTAATGAACAAGGTAGACATGGTCCCTGCCCTCAAAGAGTTTACAGATTGATGGAGAAAAAAATGAGTTTTAGGGCCGGCCCGGTGGCGCACTTGGTAGAGTGCGGCGCTTGGGAGCACGGCGGCGCTCCCACCGAGGGTTCGGATCCCATATAGAGACTGGTCCGCTCACTGGTTGAGCGCGGTGCGGGCACAACACTGAGGGTTGCGATCCCGTTGCCGGTCCCAGTACGGGCACTACACTGAGGGTTGCGATCCCATTACCGGTCACCAAAAAAGACAAAAAAGACAAAAAAAAAATGAGTTTTAAATAAATAAATTATAAACGTGTTAAACATTAAGAAAGGGAGTAAAGCATGCTTGGGATTGTGTAATAGGAAAGACTGTGTGGGTATGACATGACATACATATTGAGACTTAAAGGATGTTTGGGAGCTAGCCGGGTTTGAAAGGTAGGGATGAGGGTGTGAGAGGAGGGCAAGAGGGGGAGGAATGTTCCAGGCAGACTCACTCCCAGTCTGATAATGTCCATAACAGTTTCTTTTTCTTCCATTACTGGTCTTATTTCTTTGTCAGAGGGAATCTATGGGAATTTTTAGCCACAGAGGAAGGCAGGGACCAGGTTCTCTTTATTTGAAATGGCTAAGGGGTCTGCCATCCTTTCTGCTTATTTGTTTTTCACTCTCTCCAGATAGGTGCCTGCCTTTGTAGGCTGCACCAGGTAGTGCTGGTAACCAAGGAAGGAGGTGGACAAATGATTGGGGCATACTGAAGTCCAACTGCTCCATCATAGATCTGGACTTTGGTCTCAGTGTGGGACTTTGGGGAGGCAAGGATTGGTTCTGACCCTAAGGTGATAATATGACCCCCTTCCCCTTCCAGGAAGTGGACATTGTGGTAGCACCATGCCAAGGCCTCCGGCCTACAGTGAATGTTCTGGGAGACCTGGTGAATGATTTCTTGCCTGTGATAACCTATGCACTCCATGAAGATGAACTCTCTGAGAGGGATGAGCAAGAGCTTCAGGAAATCCGAAAGTATTTCTCTGTTCCCATATTCTTTTTTAAAGTGCCAAAGCTGGGCTCGGAGATAATAGACTCCTCCACCAGGAGAACAGAGAGTGAAAGATCACCACTTTATCACCAGCTAATTGACCTGGGCTATCTGAGCAGCAGTCACTGGAACTTTGTGGCTCCTGGCCAGGACACTAAAGCTCAGAGCATGCTGGTGGAACAAAGTGAGAAGTTGAGACACTTGAGCACGTTTTCTCACCAGGTGCTACAGACTCGCCTGGTAGATGCAGCCAAGGCCCTGAATCTGGTGCACTGTCATTGCCTTGACATCTTTATTAACCAGGCCTTTGACATGCAGCGGGACCTGCAGATTACTCCCAAACGTCTGGAATATACTAGAAAAAAGGAGAATGAGTTGTATGAGTCATTAATGAATATTGCCAACCGAAAGCAGGAGGAAATGAAGGATATGATTGTTGAGACACTTAATACCATGAAAGAGGAACTTCTGGATGATGCTACCAACATGGAGTTTAAAGGTAGGTTCCAGAGAGCTTGTTGGGGTGCTGAGACTACAGGAACCTCTAACCTTTTTCTATCTGGAAATTGAGCACATTAATTCTTAAAGCAGAGGCTGGCCGGTTATTGCAGCTGGTTAGAGCTCAGGCTTATAACACTATGGGTTTGGATCTCTGTACTGGCCAGCCGCCAAAAAAAATAAATTCTTAAAGTTAGAGGAACCTCAGGGTAATCTCACCTATCCCCCTGTTATCAGTATCAGCAGGAGTCCACCTTATATCATTTAGCCAAAGCAACCTTTCCTGCTTTCACAGACCTTCCTGGAAGATTCTACTGTCATTCTTTCCTGAGACCATAAGCCCAATTTTTGGTAAATTCATTCTGATAGCTCTCTAATCTCCACTTTCTGCCTGTTTCCTCCTGACCCTAAAGAGCTGGAGAAGAGCTGCTTGAAGAATGTCGTGCTTTAACCTTTGCTCCTTTGGTATGGCCTATGCTGCTTTATTGGTTCTTCTTTTGGTCTCATGGTCTCATTTTCTTTTCAGGCTGCTCCTGAAAACCAACTAAGGAGGATTTCCTAAAGTAGTGTTTTTAGCTTTTCTGGCAGTCCCGTTCTTCACAAATGGCCATTAATAAAATTAGGTGAAAGTGATTGGTTCAGGTCTTTTGGTGTCTGATGCTGCTGACTTTGTATACTGACTATGTATAAACCACTGTGCATGAACGTTAGCTCTTTTAATTAAAATGACATGGTTTGCAGGCACCCTTTAGATTCTCAATCATGGGTACACATTCAAATCACCTGGGAGGCTTTTGAAACTACAGATGCTCAAGATCACTAAAGACCACCCCAGACTAATCAGGATTTCTGACATGGGACATGGCATCATTGTTTTTCAGAAATAACTTCACTAGGGTAGGTTGTGCTTATTACCATTTTCTAGATGAAGGAACTAAAGCTTAGAAAGGTTCAGTCTAAGGTAACACTGCTAGTAAATGATAGAGGCAGGATATGTATCTAGACAGTCTGATTCCTGAGCCCATACTCTTAATTTCCATGTTTTACTGCTTCTTAATCTGTTCCCAATATTAATGCCACCTTCTTCCTAGTACCCAGCTTCAATACCTCAGCATGGTCTTTAACCGTCTTCTTTCCCTTGTCCCATGTCTAATCAGTTGCCAAGTTCCAGTGGGTCTTCTTCCATATTTTACCTGTGCTTTTCTATTCTTTCTTCTTTAGCCTAACTGAACTCTTATTACCTAATTATCTCCCTGACTTCTTTCTTTCTCCAGTTCATCTTTATTGGCTCCTTATTTCTACAGACTAAGTTAAACTCCTCCAGCTAGTACTAAAGATCTTCCAGGGCCGGCCTGGTGGCACACTGGAGAGTGCGCCGCTTGGGAGAGTGGCGGCACTCCCGCCGAGGGTTCGGATCCCATATAGAGACCGGTCTGCTCACTGGTTGAGCGCGGTGCGGGCTTCTTTCTTCTTTAGCCTAACTGAACTCTTATTACCTAATTATCTCCCTGACTTCTTTCTTTCTCCAGTTCATCTTTATTGGCTCCTTATTTCTACAGACTAAGTTAAACTCCTCCAGCTAGTACTAAAGATCTTCCAGGGCCGGCCTGGTGGCACACTGGAGAGTGCGCCGCTTGGGAGAGTGGCGGCACTCCCGCCGAGGGTTCGGATCCCATGTGGAGACCGGTTCCCGCTCACTGGCTGAGCGTGGTGCGGGCGCAGCACCAAGGGTTGCGATCCTGTTGCCGGTCAGTAAAAAAGACAAAAAAAAAGATCTTCCAAAGCCTAGGCCTTACTAACTTTTCCAGTCTTATTTCCCACTGTGTGCTTTCCTATAATTTCTGTCTTGCTTGTTCTTACGTGCTCGCTGTCCTACATACACTCCCTTCACTTTTTCTTTGCTTGTGCCCTGCCTTAATTCAGAAATGTCTTTTATTTGTCTGTGAATTTCCGAATCTTATGTATCTTTCAGGGACTCTCCCAAATGCCATTTCCCACAAAATTATCTTTAATTTTCTTAGCTGATAACAATTGCACTCATCTGAACTCCCACAGCATTTCATCTGTAAATTATTTCTGGTATATTTCACTTTCTATCTTTTATTATAGTTATTTATGTCCTATTTTCTAAAATCCTGGAGTTGAAGGAGAATAGGATCTGGATCTTATTCACCATCATATCCCTTGCAGCAAATAACATAGATTCTTGTATACAGTATATCTTTGGAGGATGAATGACTGCATGAATAATGATACCTAGCTATGTCATACTTATAAGTACAAAAATATAGTTGACTTTAGCAAGCATAGGATGCCTGATTTCCTATAGGTTTTTCTAAAGATGAACAGATACCTCTTTTAGTGAATTCCCATTGCAGGGAAGAGTTGCTGAGAAATGCTCACTTGCAATGACAATCTTAGGAAGTCTTCTGAGTATTTAATTAAAGACACTGAAGCATCAATGCCAGTATCATAATGTACCTGATGAAGGGAGGTCAGGGCAGTTAGGTTGGACAGACAGTAAAATATTTGATTGTTAAGTGTCAGGCATACCATGTCTGGTATCTGGGAGACAGTGGATAGCTAGACAGATGTGGGAGTGATTGAAAACAAGTAGATCAAATGTCTAGGCCTGTTAACTACATTGTGGAATTGTGGATCTATTTACCTAGATGGCTACATTTTAGACATGACTTACAAATCCAGTTTTTACCTTGTTCTAAGTCCTTTCTGGGTATCCTAGAGGTAATTATAAGCAGATTTAGAAGAGAGCTACTACATATCCTATATGGCAAGATTCCTATTACTGTTTTTTGTTTGTTTTTACATAAGGGTAATGCATTCACGCTGTGTATCATGGTATATACATGTTTTATAAGATTTTTTTTTTAAAAGATAAAACCTACATACATGGTACTTAATTCAAAGGTATCAAGACACTGCCTCCAGTCATCCAGTTCCCCTCCGTATATTCTGCACCTTGCTTTTTCACTTAATGTGTATTTTAGAGAGCTCCCCATAAATGTGCATACAAATCTGTTTTCTGGTGGATACCTTAACTTATTTAACGATTCTCCTATGGATGGACATTTAGGCTGTTTACTTTTTTGTTGTTATTACAAACCGTACTACATTGATCATCATTGTACACATACATCTTTGGGATTTGTAAGGGTATATTTCTGGAAAAAGAATTCCTAGAAGCAGAACAGTCAGGTCAAAGCATATATCGATTTTTCTTGGTTGGTTGGATGGTTTAAAATTTTGATAGATATTGCCAATTTTCCTCTGAAGATGTAGCACCAATTTAAGTTTCCACCAATAGACGTGAGACTGCCTTTTTAGGAGCAGATTTTTTTGCAAGTAGTTTGACTTCTCATATTCTTCTGTTCTCTGGTTTACAAAATAGATTTCTTAATCCTGAAAGGTAGTGGCATGGTGGGGACAATAATTAAATTTCACTTTTTATATATCTATTAATTGAGTAGAGTAAAATTCCTTACTCTTGGACTGTTCTCACTAATATGCTGGTAGTGTGAAATTTTACAGAGATCATAGGCTTTGGAATCAATGAGCTTTGGGTTCAAATGCTAGTTGTATTACTTCCAACTGTACCATCCCCTTCCCAGTACTCACTTTGTCCTCTCTTTGAGGCTGTTTCCTGATCTATAAAATATAATCAATAATACCCACCTGACAAAGCTATGGTGAAGATGAAATTAGATTACTATGTAAAATGCTTATTATAGTGCCTTTCAAATAGTTTGCACTCAATAAATATTGATCCTCCCCTCATGTAAATATGACATAAAAGCTAACAGAGCCAACAGGCTCATTCTAGACATAGTTGTTCCTTCTCAAGATCTTAGCTGCCTTCAGTGGTTGAGGGTTACATAGCCCCAGATCATGGTGAGGTTCAGAGTTCATCAACCATGTCTCTCTCTCTCTCTTTTTTTTTTTTTTTTGGCAGCTGGCCAATATAGGGATCTGAATCCTTGACCTTGGTGTTACAACACCGCACTCCAACCAACTGAGGTAATAGGCCAGCACCGAACCATGTCTTTTTGTAGCTGTCATCTTGGTAGTTCTTTGGCTCTGACTTAGGAGATGCCGTTATTTAGTGTGTCTGCTACTTCTCCCTCACAGCAAGCTAGCTTATTTTTCTGCTTCTATAGATGTCATTGTCCCTGAGAATGGAGAACCAGTGGGCACCAGAGAGATCAAATGCTGCATCCGGCAGATCCAAGAACTCATCATCTCCCAGCTTAATCAGGCAGTGGCTAACAAGCTGATCAGCTCAGTGGATTACTTACGTGAGAGCTTTGTTGGAACCCTGGAACGGTGTCTGCAGAGCTTGGAGAAGTCTCAGGATGTCTCAGTTCACATCGCCAGTAATTATCTCAAACAGGTGTGCAAAAAATGGTTGTTAAGATACTGTGTCGTGGATAGCACATGAAACAGTCCACACACAAGCACAAATTCAAATTCCTCTTTCAACTTTTTGGCAATCCAGTTTAAATTTTATTTTGTTTTCATATCACATGGCCACTGCCTATGAGAGGTGCTGGTGAGCTGTAAAATTACAGTTAAGCTGATGAACATGAAGATGAAGTAAAAGGGCCTAAATAGCCACGAAAATAGATGATCAACTTGCGTTGACTCTGCATATATATTGAGGGATAAATTTGGAAATCCTTAGACTGGACTATGCTCTTGAAGTAAATATCATTTAGTGCATTTCTGAAATAGCCATTTTTGAAATCTACTCAGGGCATATTTTTCTTTTGTGTGTTCTCTTTCAGATCTTAAATGCCGCCTATCATGTTGAAGTCACATTTCACTCAGGGTCCTCGGTTACAAGGATGCTGTGGGAGCAAATCAAGCAGGTAGAGAGGTTGCTTTCAGAAAAATTTTTTAGCCTGTAGTTGATTCAAATGAATCCTAGTCACTTCAGTAGAGAACAGATATTTAAAATCTTCTGTTAAGGTAGGGTGGCCATTTGTTCTGGTTTGTCTGCCTGGGAGAGTTCTGGTTTATGCCTATTCTCAAATAATTATTAATAGTGCTCCCTTTAACTCTTAAAAGTGACAAGTTTAAAGTGATGTTTTTTGGAGCTATTCGATTCGACTTCACTGGCTTCTTCATATTTCTTTTCTTTTTTTTCATAGAGGCTGGCTGGTATGGGGATCTGAACCCTTGACCTTGGTGTTATAACATAGCACTCTAACCAGCTGAGCTAACTGGCCAGCTCTCGTTTTCCCAATGTAAATGTGTTTTTAGAACCAGGCTTTATTGTTGCTGGAGGCCATAAGTGTGGTTCCTTTCTGGAATTCGATCTGGCTCTTATGTAGTTATTTACTGACTTCAGAAAGAGATTTAGCAGGCACTCTCAGGCACTGAATGTAATGTACTTTTAGGGGGTTTGTGAGCACACAGAGTAGGCCTAGTGTTCTTTGATGCTTTGCCCCGGGCCAAGCCTTGATTTTGAGGTATAGGAGAGGAACCTTGAACTTCATATGGTTCCTGTCTTAAGAGCCTGCTCCTGAGTGGGAAACCCAGAAAAGGAAGGGCTCTGGGTCTTTCTAGTGGTTCCTGTCTCCTATTCTTCAATAACTTCACTGTCTTCATCCTGGCAGATCATCCAGCGTATCACATGGGTGAGCCCACCTGCTATCACACTAGAATGGAAAAGGAAGGTGGCCCAGGAAGCCATTGAGAGCCTCAGTGCCTCCAAGTTGGCCAAGAGCATTTGCAGCCAATTCCGGACCCGGCTCAATAGTTCTCATGAGGCTTTTGCAGCCTCCTTGCGGCAGGTTGGTATATAGGAAAGGAGATACAGCAGAGAAGAGCCTCATTCAGAGGGGAATATTTTGCACTCTGCTCTCCATATAATTTTTAAAAAATCCCATCAGTATTTTCTTTCTCTTCGGTTAAAGGATAATATTATGTTATAGGAAATTTCATCAATAAATTTTTCTTGTGGATATTTTTCAAACTCTAGGGAGACTGGAGGGAGCTCAGTTAATTTCTCCCCATTTAACTGAGTGAGGAAAGAAAATGGGGGAGTTGGAATTTTTTTTGTAAGTTTAGTATAGTATTTTAGGAATGAATGACAGAAAGGGATGACTTTCCAACTTCCATGCTAGTTCACAATTATGTGACATCTACTTGTCTGTTTGGGGGTGTTTGTATGCGTGGGGAGGGGAGGTGGATAGATGTGATTATGCATGCTAGAGGAAAAATTATTGAGAGTCTACTATGTGCCAGTCTCTGTGCTAAACATGTTACATACATTTTACTTAAGTCTCACAACTATCTGAATGAGGTAGATGTTGTTATTCCTATATAACAGGTGAGGAAGATGAAGGTAGGGATTCGATAGGTCATATATCTTTTTTCTGTTTCCCTCCTAGCTGGAAGCTGGCCACTCAGGCCGACTGGAGAAGACTGAAGATCTATGGCTGAAGGTTCGGAAAGATCATGCCCCCCGCCTGGCCCGTCTTTCTCTGGAGAGCCGTTCTTTACAAGACGTCTTGCTGCATCGTGAGTCTTTCTTTTTTCCTAGTAAATTGGAGGAGGGTTTGGGATACCTGACATTCTTATGTCCAACCTTGAGGAATCCCAGTGTCTATAAGGTGCTTCCTTGCAAAGCTGCGTAAGCACTTTCTGATGAGTTTTTGAATTCCTGAGGTCTGTTTGGTCCTGCTATTTATATAGTTCAAATAACATGAACAAAGTTTTTAAAATTAAACTGGTTAGGTTACTTTCTACTGGCTTATAATGACACCAGAATTTCTTACCCTGCATGATATGACTTCCTGGTCTCTAGGCTGGTCCACATCTAAGAATCTGACAGAGGTTACCCAGCAAGTTCCCATCCCTCCTGCCTTATCTCTGTCTCTGTACCTTACAGGTAAACCTAAACTGGGACAGGAACTGGGCCGTGGCCAGTATGGTGTGGTATACCTGTGTGACAACTGGGGGGGACACTTCCCTTGTGCCCTCAAGTCAGTTGTCCCTCCAGATGAGAAGCACTGGAATGATCTGGCTTTGGAGTTTCACTACATGAGGTGGGTCCTGGTCTCATTCATCTCTATGGGAAAGATCCAGAAAAGCAGCCAGAAGCCTGGTGTAAGTTTTGTACTAAGAGTTACAGCACACCCTGTCTCTCCATACCTAGGTCTCAAAATGTTATAGACTAGTGTTTCTGTGTCTAGCCCAGACATTTGCTCTTTAAGGCCTTTCCTGTCTTTGCTTGCTCTCTCTCCACCATCCTAATTTCTCAGACTCATCGTTCCATTTGACTTTCTTCCTTAGTCATTAAGGCTTATCAATTTTTAGATTCCATGGTTCTTTGTCCTTCAGAGAAGCCATTCTCTTTGCCTTCTGTCTACACTGAGGGCCATTACCTCTGGACCTGGATTAAGCATAGCCTTGAGGCTATTCCTTCCTGCATTCTGGCATATCATGCAGGATTAGAGCCTAAGATTGTAGCCCAGACTTCTCTCCTTCCCACCAGGTCTCTGCCGAAGCATGAGCGACTGGTGGATCTCCATGGTTCAGTCATTGACTACAGCTATGGTGGTGGCTCCAGCACTGCTGTGCTACTCATTATGGAGCGGCTACACCGGGACCTCTACACAGGGCTGAAGGTGAGGCGAGGCAAGGAGGGAACGAGATCCAGCTGGCAGCCAGATCCACAGGCTCCTCCCTGGCTTTTCATCCTTCCCTGTTTATTCAGAGCTTCTAGCTTCCATAAGAGATTGTTGGAATAATCAGGCTTTGGTCCACTTATTTCCAAAAAACCTTAAAAAATTCTCAGAACCTATTTTTTGCCACGGTATATATCTAGAATATTGTCATTCATACTTCGACCTTTTATGGTGGTGGTAAAAATCTAGACTCAGAAGAGCAGAAAAGCTTCCTGTAACTCTGCTCTTCTTTCTTTCTTTGCTGTCAGGGGATAAAGCCAGTTTTTGTTTTTTAGTCAACACATATTTATTAGTGACTACCTTGTACAGGCCTTGTATTAAACACTGCAAGGGCTATCAAACAGTAATTGCCAGGAGCTTTCAAGAGAATCGTAGTCAATGAAAAGTTCATGAAGATATGGACTTTGAGTTTGATAGGTGTACCTTGATGAATAGAATCTGAGCAGAAGGAAGAGGCCATACTGGGCGAAGGAACAGCATAATGCCCAGAGCATTCAAAGGCCAACAAGGACACAAGGAATGGGGAGATGTGCAAAGAGATGTGTAAACAAATTATTTAGGACCCAAAATGTTAAGAACCTCCACAGAATTCAAATTCTGTTGTAGATAGTGAGGAGCTACTGAAGGATTTTATTTGAGTAAAGGTGAAATCCTCACCTAAAACAGCCACCAGAAAGGAATTAGAGAGGTTTCTTTTGTCTGTTCCCTACATTGGAGCTGAGTAGGAGAGAAATGCTAACCTCAGAAGGGTAGGTCCCTTTTCATATATTTCCCTTGTATCAGTTTATACGGAGGCTTCCAGAAGTAGGGCAGAGGAAACCTTAGAAATGCCTCCAGGAGTCATGAGGGACCAATATGATGAAGAAAATGACTCTCCAGGTGGCTTACCCTCTTCATTTCAAAGAGGTTGTTAAGCTTAGCATTGTCTGATGCTTTTCTACAAGTAGACTGGAGAACCTCATTTGGACTTTTGGATGAATGATGTGACATTTTCCAGAATTCAAGAGACCCTAAATTGAAGTAATATTAGTGACTTTGGTATTTGAACCCATAAAACCAAATGCTGGGCTAAGCAGACCTGTAAAGCAATGGAAGTAAATCTGTGAGGGACCTAGAAATACTTACTTTGACCCTCAAGGGCAGTTCCAAAGTTTGTTCAGATGTTAGAAATGAGCTCATGCCTTCAGTTGTTCAGTTGCACCTCTTCTAGTCACATTCGGGGTTGTCCAGTTGGCCTGACTACAGCTGCAAGGGATTTTATTAAGCTTGTGTTTTTTACAGCTTGCTCCTCCTTGCTTTCCCTCCACTTCCTCTCCTAACTGCTTTCCTCTTCTCTCTTTTTTTTTTCTATTCAGTTTTTTGTCCTTGTGCACCCTAGTGCAGTCAGTCTTTTAATTTCCCACAGAAGGCAGTCTCAGTTGGTTCAAGCAAGTTGGATTAAGGAGTTGCCCTGTTCGTGACAAGTAAGCTCTTTTGTCTCCCCAAGGCTGGGCTGACCCTGGAGACACGTTTGCAGATAGCACTAGATGTGGTAGAGGGGATCCGCTTCCTGCACAGCCAGGGACTTGTCCATCGTGATGTCAAACTGAAAAATGTGCTGGTAAGTAGGAGCTATTTCCCCAAGATGATACCCTGCTTCTGTGGGTTAAGTGACCTTTTGGAGGGTACATCTAAATCTAAGTTTGGTCCTAGGAAAAGTCCAGAGGGAAACTAGTAGAATTAACAGTATAGTGGATTAATAGTATCTTGGACTTAAAGCTTAGGGAAGATTTTCCTCATAGACCTAGTTTATGTTGCTTAAGGTTTTTATCACCCTACACTGTTTTGAAAAACTTTAAATTCACAGAAGAGTTAAAAGAGTGGTACAGTGAAGACCCGTATATCCTTCACCCAGATTCATACTCTCTCTCTCAGCATGCTCACTCACACTCTTGCTTACTCTTTCTATATGTACAGTCAAACTCACACACACACACCTTTCTACCAAATACATGAAAGTAAGTTTCAGGTAATGCTCTGTTCCTAAATACTTCAGCATGTTTCTTCTAAGAAAAAGGACATTTTTCTACATAATTAAAATGTCATTATCACCCCCAAGAAATATAGCATTGATAAAATACTGTTATTTAATATACAGCCTATATTAATATTTTGCAGTTGTCCCAAATATGTCCAGTTGCCCCAAATGTGGTCTGTTTGTTTGATCCAGGGTCCAATCCAAGGATCATACAGTGCATTTTATTATATTTCTTTAGTCTCCTTTAATCTAGTAGTCTTTCTGCCTTTCATTGCTGTTCTGACAATGATATTTTTGAGGCATTCAGGTCTTGTTATTGCTTAGGATTTGATCAGAGATGCTGGATGAGGGCTGAGATAGGTACATGCACCTTAAAAGGTAAGGTAGTCATGAACTCACCAGTCCTGTTATCTAAATTATAAAGAATCTTTTAACATACTCCTCTTAAAAATATATTAGAATATCACTAAGGTGTTTGTGGCAGCACTTAAATGATGTATAAAAATGACAGCAGTTTGGGGGAAGGAGAAGATCTCCCTAAAATGAAACCTGGGTTAGCTCAGTTGGTTAGAGTGCAGCCTTATAATACCAAGGTCAGGGGTTCAGTTTCCCTTACTGATTTAAAATGAAACCTAAGAGGTTGATCAACAGCCAAATGAGACGGATTTATTCTCTTGGACCTTTAGGAAAGGAAACTGCAGGGATTCCAGGAAGCTCTCCCCAGTTGACCAGAGGACCTCAACTTTCTTACCTACCAACTTTCTGCCCTGGGGTCAGGAGGAGGCTCAGGAGCTGAAATGCTGTCCTCAGTGTCCTTCCGTGGACTTCACTTATTCATTCTTCCATGATTTATTCAGATTCTGATGTGTGCCAGGTACTAGGCTAAGCACTGGGGATACAAAGAGGAAAAAGACAATTCTGCTGTCAGGTTGCTCACAGTATGGGGAGGAAGACAGTAATGGTAATGAATCTGGAGACAGGGAGATTGAGGCATGATTTATTGGGTACTACTTGAGCTACTTTGAGGCACCTACTTTTGAGTGTGGACATGCAACTGAGTGCTGTGTGTAGGATCAGAGGCAGGGTGATTCTTGCGGTTTTGTTGGCAGCTGGACAAGCAGAACCGTGCCAAGATCACTGATTTAGGATTCTGCAAACCGGAGGCCATGATGTCAGGCAGCATTGTGGGGACACCAATCCATATGGCCCCTGAACTTTTCACAGGTAAGGCTGGATGGCCCTGCCAAACTCCCTAGTGCGTTTAGCCATGACTCAGGACTTTAACCCTGAATGTCATCCCTCGGGCTAAGTAGTATCCAAAAGTTACTATGGCAGGTCTGGCACAGGCAAGGGAGAAACCAGAATGGGGAAATCCTAAGGCAAATAGGGGGAGAAATGGAAAGGTAAAGCAGTGAGAAAGAAAAGTGCAAATGGGAGTCACCAATTATTCTTTTGGATGTCTCTCTGGGTTATTATTGCCATAATTGCCATAATCAGCCAATTATTTAATCACATTGACTTTATGTAATAACTCCTATTATATATTATATATATATTATATATAATAACTCCTATTATATATATATTTTATATATATTATATATAATAACTCCTATTATATATATATTATATATATAAATATATATAATGTATATATTTCTCTGTCATTAAGGAATTTATAATTGACATATATATATTAAGAGAGGTAAAATAATTAGGAAGTAGTAGAAGACAGAGTGCTATATAATGTACTGTTGGTGTTCAGAGAAGGGATAAATGAAGATTGAAGTGTTTGATGGTTTTGTGGTAGAGGTGAAATTTTGGGTAGAACTTGAGTCAGATCTGGAAAATTGGTGGGGGGAAGGGAACTCATATTTATTAAGTATATACTTAGAGCTAGGTAGTGTGGGTATGTTTTTTATATTTTTTATTTCATTTAATCCTCACAACAATTCTGTGACATTGATGCATTTTTACATCCATTTTATGGATAAAGTAGTACCAGATTGATGAAGAAACCCATCCCTAAAACATTGACCTAGAATATAATGGAGCTGGGATTTGAATCTCTGTCTCCAGAGTCCAACCATGTGCAGTCGGGCCTCTGTATCTGTGGGGCTGCATATGTGGACTCAACCAACTGAGGATCAAAAATTTTTGAAAAACAACAACAATGTAACAGTAAAAAAGCACAAATACAAACAATACAGTATAACAGCTATTTACATAGAATTTACATTGTGTTAGGTATTATAAGTAATCTAGAGATAATTTACAGTATATGGGAGGATGAATGTAGGTTATATGTAGACTTCAGTATCTTTGGGGAGTCCTGAAACCAATTTCCTGTGGATACCAAGGGAGGACTGTATCATGACGGAGAAAATTCTGGAGACTGGAGAAGGGGAAATGAAGAAAATCGCAGAATAGAAATAAACATGAAGGGAAGAGATCCATTTGGGGAATAGTGGTAAACAAGGTTGGAGATAAAATACATTGAGCTTGAAATTCACACAGAGGAGTTAAGACTTATTGTGCAAGAAGTAAGGAGGCACTGACTTTGAGCAGGGGAGAAATGAAAAGAAAATGTTTGTGGAAGATTAGCTTAGCAGCAGTGGGTAGAGGGGATTTGAGTGGGTAAGGACAAGGTACATAGGTCAGTTAGGCAGTGGTTGTCTCCAGGATTAGGTTGCTATTAGTGCTGAAACAAAAAGATGTGACAGATTAGTTCAAAGGAAGAATGGGCAAGATTTTGTTACTAACTTGATGTGGGTGATGAGCAGAAGAGAATGACTAAAAGATGACTGAGATTTTGAGCCTGAATGGACGAGGAGTGGTTATTGCCAGGGAAGATGGAAGTTAGTCGCAGATCAGTCATTAGCATTGGCAAGAGCTAAAATTAGCAGTGTGATTGAATTTCTTTCATTTTGTATGAAAGTCTTCTCCCAACCTTTCATCACATGATACGCACAAGGATTAGGAGTTAACTAGACAGCTACACTCCTACCCACTCTGAATCAAGTAGACAGTCATCATTTATCTTCCCTAGATTCACTTTTTAAAAAAAAATTTTATTCTCATTGCTATTATCCTATTTCAGTTACTTCATACTTAAATTCCTTTCATTGTTTCTACTATAGTAGTTCACCCTATTATTGTCAGAATAATCTTTCTAAAATATATTCTTCATGTCACCTCCTGCTCAAAACATAATTGACTTCCTGCTGCCCACTCAGTCCAGATGCTTCTGTCTTATTTTAAAACTCTTTATATTCTGGTTCCAATGTACCCACACACAGGTATTTTCCAACTTTATTTCCCTAATATGACCTTTCAGGATTAATCTTTTTGACTGTCCCATTAAAACAAAAGGTCTTATTTTCCTTCTCCTTTTTCATGTTATAGTCTTGGCTCTCTTAATATCCAGCTTTGACCTCCCAATACTGTAGTTTTTTGTACTGTAAAATTGGCATAAGTGTGCCCCACCTGACAGGGTTGTTAGGAGAGAGAATGGATGTTAAAAGCTTCAGAAAAAAACATGTAAGGACCTCTGCAGATGCAAGGTAGTGGTGATGATGCAGCCTTCCTCCCCCAGCTCATTACTTCTCATCCCTTCTTGTTATAGGGAAGTATGATAATTCAGTGGATGTCTACGCTTTTGGGATTCTTTTTTGGTATATCTGCTCAGGCTCTGTCAAGCTCCCTGAGGCATTTGAGAGGTGTGCTAGCAAAGACCATCTTTGGAACAATGTGCGGAGAGGTAAGAGCCACAAGCGCTACTTTGTCCTAACTCCCCTCGCTAGAGCACACTGAGCCCAGGCAGTGCAGTAAGGGCCTCCTGTCATCCTCTCTGGCCACTCCACAGCAGGACCACATACACATTTAGACCATCATGGAATCCTGAAAAGACATTTAAGTCAATCCTTTGCTTCCAGGGAACACACTATCGAACTATCTCAAAACGGCTTTTTTTCATTAAAATTTCCAATTCTTCAACTTCCTGTGCCAGTGTGTTCCAGTTTTTCATCACTAGATGTTTGCATTTGAAACCAGAGCTCATTGCATTCTTTAGTTTACTGAGCCCCAACTGGGCAATCAGCCTTTGAGCTGGTCATGTCTCTTCATTGTGTTGGGCCCCCTTTCGCTGATTTTCATGCTCCTTTCTCCAGGGGCCCGTCCAGAACGTCTTCCTGTGTTTGATGAGGAGTGCTGGCAGTTGATGGAAGCCTGTTGGGATGGAGACCCCTCTCAGAGGCCTCTCTTGGGCATTGTCCAGCCCATGCTCCAGGGGATCATGGACCGGCTATGCAAGTCAAATTCTGAGCAGCCAAACAGAGGACTAGATGATTCTACTTGAAAGCAAATACCTTTCTCTTTCACTCTCTATTTCTTTCCTTCCCCTCACCTTTTGCCTGTGGGGAGAATTTAACATTTATTCATTATAGGGAGCTCCTGAGAGAACTGGTACTTGCTGGGCAACTTGAGACCTTCCCAGGCAGAGATGACTCCTGGACAGTGAAGAGTTGGATGGCTGTTTGAACATATTTGGCAGTTCACTGAAGCCCCAAGCTATCCCTTTGGCAAAAGATTGTCTAAGACATGGGTAGAAGCTGAAAAATGTGATGTTTTGGCCTCACAACTGTGAAAAGGAGGTAAACGGTACCATTGTCTATTCAGTGTTTATGTTTCTAAGACAAGTTGGACACTGCTGTGGCAATAGTATTAGAAACTATCACTTGTCATGATTTTGGCTCTAGCTAGAAATAGTTTGATTCTACCCAGTGGCTGGGATCCTTAGAAAATTTGAGCTTAGTTCTGGGATTGTGAAAAATGGGCATAAAAAAATAACTTGTGGATGCCTGTTTCCTGTTTTCTGCAACCAGGTATCTCAGGCTACATTGGTCAGAAGCCTTGGTGAGGGAGCTAGAAACAAAACTGTCTGTTCCTTACAGCACCAGTGTGTTTACATTTAGAGGACCATATTTCCCTGGTTTCTAGGGAGGGTTTCACTGTTACATCACCAAGAGGCCAAAAAAAGAAAAGAAAACGAAAAAATGTGTGTATATATGTATATGTATATATATATAAGCCATTGGATTTTGAGTTACTGCTAACCCCAGAACAGAATCTGTTCTACCCTTGTGTCTTTTTTTTTTTTTTTTTTTTTTCCCCTTCTTTCTGTCTCAAGATGGGAAAACTCCAGACAACATGGTACTTAGGAGTGAATGTTTGAGCAAAACCAACCCAGTGTGAAGTATTTGGGTGAGACCCGAGAGGTGGGAAATGATTCAGAGGCCGTGGCCCACATACAAACCTTCTGGAAAGATACTAGCTGGTTTTTTTTAAAAAAATCAGAAACTCTTCTTTTTCTGTTTCAATATAACACACTGATGTTTTCAAGATTTGATCAATGAGTTTTTTAATCAAGATTTCTTCTGCATTTAACTTTTTACTTTATTTTAAATATTAATCTGTTAGAAGGAAAGAAAGGACCAGATGAAAGAGAAAAACACTCCTCTGACAGTTGTGTGTGTGTGCACCTCACCGCTGGGTCTGGGAAGCTTTCTTGAAGTTGGTAGGTGGGGTGCTGGTCTTTTGGAGAGTTTCTCATGAAGTGTACATGAGGAGAGATGATTCCATTCAGAGGAAGGGAAACAGTTTAAACATTGGTGCATCTCAGATCTTGACTTTAGGCCTTCCTCAACCAAACTGGTCCATTATGTTCAGAAAAATAGGTAGGTGAGGGAATAGACAGTGGAGGTGAGTAGCCTCTATCCATCTGCCCAATCCCCATGTGGTCTAGCCCCCGTGCCCAGCCTCAAAGTCTGTGCAACAGGTCGCCAAGTCAGTGTATAAGATAAGTAGCATATTTGCTGCTGAGATTTTCTCAGGTTGTTTGAGACAAACGACCATCTCTTGAATATTTAGAGTCTATAATAAATTTTTCATATAACTTTTAAAGTTCAGTTTTAACTCTTCGGCTATCCTGGCCTATGATTATCATATGCACTGTATCCCCTCAGAAACTCCATGCAGTACTAAAAAAAAAAGCCTTTTTTTTCCCCAGTTTTTTTCCTTTTTTTGGTGGCTGGCTGAAGAAAATCCTTTTTACTTACAAAATAAAGTAACTGACCCAGTGTCTTTTGAGTTCTGTAGGTTCTAGCCTTATTTTGGTAATGTTCATATATCTCTTAGAATTTTTTTTAATCACTTATTTAGCTATACTTCAGGTTACTGTGTTCTTCTCAGCATTAATTCATTGCCCTTCTGGGGACTATGATGGGGCTACCAGGAAGCCAGGTGTCAAGTCAAGAAAGGAGAGTTGAGGAGTCTACTTGCTGAAAAATAATTGCTAAGTCTGTTCTGTATGAAATTTCAGGAAAGGTCTTTAATAGTTCTCTTTTCCAGACTATCTTTTTTTTTTTTTTTTTCCTTTTTGTCTTTTTTCGTGACCGGCAACGGGATCGCAACCCTCGGTGTTGCTCCCGCACCTCGCTCAGCCAGTGAGCGGCTGGTCTGTATGTGGGATCCGAACCCTCGGCGGGAGCGCTGCTGCGCTCCCAAGCGGCGCACTACAGCAGTGCGCCACCGGGCCGGCCCAGACTGTCTTTTACTAGCTATAATCAAGAGTCTGTACTTCCATTATGGAGACCACATTCCTAACATTCATTGGAAGTCTTAGCTCACCCCCATTCATACAAGGGAGGTTAGATTTTTTCTTACCCTAAGTCCCTTTTCAGTTTATCCACTGTGGGCTCTTCTGCTCTCAGATAACATCTTTCCAAGGAGCTGGCTGGATAGCTCAATTGGTTAGAACGCCAAGGGTTCAGATTCCGACACTGGCCAGCTGCCAAAAAAAAAAGTTTTCTAGCAAATTCTCAACATTTTTGCCTAGTAGGGAGGAAGGGAGGGACTAATGTAAGTAAGGAGATGAGTATTTGTGTTACAGTTCATTAAAAAAAGTACTCTGAGAAAAGGTGCAAAATATCCCCGAGTCTCTAGGCCAGCCAAAGTCCACATATGGATATTTGGGGGTGTTATTTAAATACTCAGCAGGCTGAGTGCGGGACATGTGTATAATGTGTATACTTTGCTTTTGTTTATAACATTGTCAGCTAATTTTGTGTTCTTTGTTCTTGGCACCCATTATTACTAAAGTGATGGAATGCCATGAAATGTACTGTATTGTATGTTACTAGGGAAGACACTAGGTATTCAAAGGAGTTTGGCAATACTTGGGCTGTAGAGAGCTCAGCATGGCCAAAGTCCTGAAGATTTTACCTCCCACGTTTGGTTGTATATGGTCCCAGGTGGTGAGGTAAGATTGTAGCTGGAAGAAGGAGAAGATGGCATAAAAGAATTACCCTTACTGTGCTCTATCCTTGTAATCAACTTTGTTAGGGTAGTTTACCCCAGCATGAAAATGATGACCTGGCCGTTTTTAATGAGCTTGAAGTCTGGTCATTTTCTTCAGAACTGAGAGGCCTTCCTGCAGAGCAATCAGAAGAAATGTTGGAGCCTGGGGCCCTGGAATGGCTGACTCTGCCTAGAGAGCTAGCCACAAGGTCACTCAGGCAAGATTGAAGAATGCTTGTCTGGGCAAGGCTTCCACAGGCATGTCCTAGTTCCCTGATCCTCTGCAGAAAGAGGCTCATTGATTGAGCATCTTTCACCTCTGTGAGAAGGAGAACTCTGCTGGCTGTTCCCAGACCAAAGAGAGTCAGTTTTGACTCCATCAACTTGAAGGGGACAGAGCCTAGGCAGCAGTTTCTCCTAATTTTTAACACTAAAATGGAAGAAAGGATGCGTTACTACGCTGACAAACAGGGGCAGGACAGAACTCTTGACTAGTACCTGTCAGCTCTCAAATGCATTTTTGTTTTTGCTCGAGCTGCCAAAGAAGGTTTGGAGAATGTTTTTTCTGATGAGAGAAGTCGCTCAGGGTGGCCGAGCTGTGAAGTGACAACTGCACTGAACGACACTTTATTTTGGGGCTTATTATTTAGCACTGAGAAGCCCAGGAGGATTGGTGATTAAAGTAGTACTTTGGGAAAGTGAGGCACTCTCTGGCCTTGCTTTGGAGAGATGGCGTACTTGGTATTACATTTTGCTAATCAGGAAATCTCCAAAATCCATATTGCATCAGAGTGGGAATAGCAGCCTTGGAAGAGTCCACTGCCAAAAGAATAGTTGCTTTCTTTATTTTCAAAGCTTGTTTTTGAGATTTGCTGGATCAAATAACCTACTTTTTCTTTAAAAGAAAAAGGGTTTATTCTTCTAAATATGGGGTTGGAATGGGGTAGAGCTAGTGCATTGTTAAAGTGGGTAAGGAGGGAGTGACCCTTGTATTGCAAACTCCCCTGGAGGTTTCAAGTAGCACTCCTGTTCTTAAAATGGTTTTATTTTTGACTTCATCTGCTTTGATAACATCCAGTCCAGTTGAGGTGATCACAGAGACTACATGAAAACACCTGGCATTAGAGAGGCCACCTTGTCCAGAGGGTTGAAAAGAAAATTGGTCTGGACAGCCTGTTGTCTTTTGTCTTTATGTAATGTTCTTTATTTGTTTTAAAGGACTAATGTTTATTACAGTGTTCAGTAAAAGTATAACATACTAGGTGTGTAGAATAAAAGTGCAATAACAAAAGAAAATTACTTTGGCACAAACTTCGGTCTTTATACTCTCTCCTTCCTTGTGCTCCCTGGTTCTTTCCATAATATTGTTACAGCAGGACTGTGTTAATTGTGTATATTTTTAAGAGAGTAACTCTGGGTTAAGTCTTCATTTAGTGTAAATGGTTGGGTTTGGTTTTCTAGAGAATTCTGTATACTTGCTGGGATGATGCACAAATACCAGATGTGCTGTATAATAAAGATCACATTAATGTTTTAGCTTTAGATTTGTTTGGCCTTGGTTTTTCCTTACCTCACTACTCATATTAAGAGGACACTTCCTATTCCATTCCATTTCCACTATGACCTGCATTCAGAGGTTTGCGTTAGGAGACACTGACGAAACATGTTACTCTTCCATCAGGGGCCTTCCCCAAACATGATGATCACTCTTGGTCTTTGGGTACTTTACATTCCCACTACTAGAGGGTGGAGCAAGGGGATGGGCAACAGGATAGTGGAGAACAGGGGGACAAAGTGGGGTGATAGAGACCAATTTATTTTTCAGAGCCTATCCTGGGGTGACACCCTTTTCTCCAGCTTCCTTTCAGCATGAACTTGAAGATTTTTTTTTTTTAATATTTTATTTTATTTTGTCGATATACAATGTGGTTGATTACTGTGGCCAATTCCCGAAACCTCCCTCCCAACAATGTCCTTTCTGTTTGCTTGTCGTATCAACTTCAAGGAATTGCAATTGTTATGTCTTGTCCCTCCCCCCACCCCCCCGAACTTGAAGATTCTGAATTCACACATGAGCTTAGCTTCTCTTTATTACACTGTGAGGGAGTTTGGGCA